TGAGTGTTAAAACATTAGAATTCTGTAGTCATGTAACATGGATACAGACAGAAAAAGATGAAAAAAGTCAGGCATGAATCAGTATTGACAAGTTATTTTGAGACATTTAATATTTACTATAAATACAATGTTCTGAGTGCACACTAAAAATGCTAATCAAAGGTATATTTGTAAATCAAAATCAATTAAGAGCTTGGCTTCAAAATGCAGCTTCCACCCCAGCAAAGTACAAAGAAAAAATACTTAAGGCAAAAGGGTACAATAATTCACTAATCGAATTTGCAATGCTCTTTCGTGCTCCCAAGATGAAAGTGTTTCAAAAAGCATTGCACTAACATCCTCTCCTCCACCTTCACTGCTTAGAATAAGGCACCTTTAATACCCATGGAAGGGATGAGCCCTCATTTACACTGGCTTTCTTCCATAAACAGGGAGGTGTTAAAATTAATCACCAAGTAAGGCCCATAAAGTGATACCTACAGGAGTTTTTTCTGAAAGTAGTAATATTGGAAACATTAAATGCTATATCTGATAAAAATTATATGCTAAAACTGACAAAATCAATTTTAGTTCAGTGGTTTTGCTCATTGTTCCTAAGAAAATATTTTTAATGGACTAAAAGCCTTCAACATCACTAATTTGAATGTTTATGGCATAACATTTTGCAAGTCACTTTATATTTTTTGTCTTAAAAACTATGTGATTTGTCCACTTGTATATGTAATATCTAAGTAATGTCAACTTATTCACATCCACAAAGCCTAATGTAGAACTGGGACATAATAGATGCTCAATAAATACTATGGGACAGCCTTCAAAAAGGGTAACAAGCCATGTTTCCTTAAGGTTTTTTTTTTAATTAATCATCGTTGTTATTATAAATCACATTCCATGACATCATAAAGTTTATCTGAAGTCAGAAAAATATGAAATAACTAGAGAACCATTCATGACAAAATAAGGTTATATAATAAATGGGGTAAATATGAAAAAAAAAGATAAATGATTCATCTAACAAAAATTTTAACCACTTGCATTCTTAAAACAACCAAGGATTCTGCATCAAATATTTATAAATTAGCATCAATTAAATTACAGCCTACTATAAAATAGTAACTGTAAATTATTATACTTTTTCTATGTTGTCAATAAGAAACTAGATCACATCCTCAGAGTTATATAGAAACTAAATTGCACCTATAAAAGGCTCTTTGACTACTGAGAAGTTAAAGATTTATTCTTAATCCATGACTCAGTATTTTCAACATTTAATTAACGTATTTATTCTTTCAGAAAACTTTAGTGGTTCTTCACTCCAAATCTTCATCATTCCCCATCTCCTCATAAACTCTTACAATCAATAATCTACCTGGCTTTGAACTCTACATTGATGCAATTTATATTAATATAAAAAATCAATCTATCAAAATTAGGACACCTGATTCAAAGTGAACTTTTCCGAAGTTGTTGTATTTTTTCAAGTTCACAGTTAATCAAAATTTAAATGTGATTACATTTTCCAATGAAGTCAAACTTGATCACTCTGAAAAATGGGAAGATAAGCCACACCAAATATTCAAATTTCCATTGAAATTATATGCCAATCAGACTTTTACAGCTAGCTAATTGAAACAGCATTATGCATTTTTAGCAAGAATGGAGTATCTTTAATGATGCAATCAACCTTCCTGTTTATTACCTCTCTCTATCAATTAAAGTCAGAGCAAGATTTTTAGATGAGATCCATACATAGTTTATATGCTATTGACTTGGATAGCTCACATAAAACTTCCTGGCAGTATAATGGGTAACCAAAATGTCTAACTTTTGTGTAGATAAGACATGTCACTTGTTACACATGTCAGCTTAGCAATAGTAATATTCTAAAATTTTATACTTCACTTTTAACTTTTTCATCCTCCCAAAAAAAGGAAAAGAAAAGGAAAACAGGATTTATTTTGGAAAACCAGGATTAATTTGACAATTGTCCTAAAAATCAGATTAAAACAGCTCTTGAATGTTCTCAGACTTAGTCATTAATATCAAACATAGTTGCCAAGCATGCTGGCTGTGATCCTCATTATCAGGAGGCAGAGGGAGGAGGATCAATTGAAGGACAATCGGGGTCAAAAGCCACGCCACCACTCATGCTCACACACCAAGAGAAAAGCGAAGCCTTCTCAAAATGTCTCCTCCGCATCTATTCTTCCGTCTCTGATTTTCCCCTTTCCTGGCTTTTCTACCTTCCTGATTTCTATTTCTCCCCCTTACTCGTTTCTTTCCTAATTTTTCACGAATCCAGTTATAAAAAGAACTCAGAGGTACAGTTCAGTATTAAAACCAGCAAAACAGTCACACCAAACCAAAACCCAACTCTGGGATCATTTTAACTGCATATGACTCGTGTCCAAATAAATGGCTTTTGAGCTCTAATGGCTGGGCATGCTGTGCAGACAATGAACAAAAGGGAAGGGGAGGGGTTTCTCTTGGTTGGATTGAACCAAGACTTAGGCTGGCCTTAGAGAGTAGTGGGCAGGGCTGACTTCAACAGTGGCGATGTTAGACCCTAAGTTAACCTGCAAGCCCCACCTGCCCAAAGACCAGGTAAGTTCCTAGGATTCTGCGAGTTGTAGTTCTTGAAAGATAACACCTGCCCAAGGACCAGTTAACTTCTTGAGATTCTGGGAGTTACATAGTTCTTGGAAAATAACAGCAAAGCCTCACGGGAAAGTCTGGTGGCCTGTGGGTTTTGCTTATATAAAACCTGAGGCCACTCAGCTGGAAAGTTTCCAGGTAGTGGTTTTGACCAAATTCTATCTTGGTCAGTAGTTAATATTTTAATAAAAGCTTGCTTTAATTTGGCCCAAATGAACTGGTTCTTCTCCGGCGAATTTCAGGATTAAGAGTAGGACACTAATATCCATTCTCCAATTAAGGACAAGCTCTAGGGGCAAAGTAAATTTGAAGATTTCTATTCCAAGAAAAATATAATGTGGACATAAGCATTGACTCTAAAATGAATAGCCAGGCAAGGGGAGAGCTGGGAGGAAGGGAAGCAAAAAGTCATGACCAGGAGGACACATATGGGGCAGACATGGAAAATATCAACTATTTACTTTTAAAGGCGCTTACTGTTGGTCAGAATTGGAAAGAAATGGTCAACACTGTAGACCAATCCCTTTGTCCATAAAACAAACAGCAGTAGTTTGAGTAATTCAATAACAGCCCCTTACCACTTCAGGGCGATCATTGTAGAACCTTTCTCAGGCTAAAAGTGTAATTGGCTACGGATCAATAAGTAATTTCTCTTAGAAGGACAAAGGTCTTATTTTCTCTCTTTTTAATTTATATATATTTTTTGAACTAGCAAAGCTCTTAAGTCAGAGCTGAGAAAATATATTTTGAAAACTGACATTACTCTAAACAGCAAGATTCCTTACTGCCCTGCGAAGTTTATCTCAACTGATCATTAATTTATGATGCTGTAAAAATCCAAATGCTTTCAATTTTGATTGTTAGGTATTTGCTGAAAGGCAGCTGAAATTACTTTCCTAGGTTTGCCATTTTATGACAAGTGCATTTTGAATGGAAATTTACAATGGTTCAATAATGGTTATGCTGAGGTGTTATTTGCTGTTTATAGCCCCCCCCCCACACACACACACACTAAGATTAGCAATGAATTCAGCTCTTGTGGTCAGTGTGAAACTTTAGTTGGCTTATTGGAAATGCTGGAAATGTAATGTAAAAATAAGATCAAGAAAAAAATTAATAAAGTCTTTCAGAATTAAAACCTTGTCAGTCTGTGATAATATAGTGTGATGATCGTTGGTTTTCCTAGTCATCATGGGACTAATGCCTAAGGCCAGCTTCTATCAAAAAGGAAAATGTTTACCTGACCCATGAACCTTTGAAGACCTAGCTAGCATTTGGTAAAAGCAGAACATAGACCAGGTAAACATAAACAAAACATCAAAGTTTCATGATCAATAGAATGAGGCAATCGACGATACTCAAATAGAACTGTAGAGAATGAAATGTCTGAAACTTCAAGAAGAGGAAGACTGTAGGCAAAGCAAGAATCCCTGAGATTTTTGTTTGGTGGTTTGTTTTTAATGTTGCTGGGGATGGATCCTTTGGCCTTGCACATGATGCACAAGCTCTGTACCACTGATGTATATGCCTAGACCTAGAGTTCTGAAGATGTCATGTTTTCCTGATCATGATTTTGCAACACAGAAAACTACTAATGACTCTTAGCTGTTAAAGCACATGCATTCTTCTTCAGAAATAATACAGAGAACCAAGAAAATGAAGAACTACAACTGTATTTGGTAATTCTTTAAAAGTAGCATTGCAAAGAAGAGAAAGTGTGTTATGGAAACTAAAGAGAATGCATCTCTTTTATAAGTTATTATTTACCTTTTACTTTGCACTGGCTGAATTTGCATGTGAAGTTCAGCAGCGCTGAGACAGGAAAGCAAATGTTCCCCACAACTTTCCAGACAGCTATCAAAGCTAGTACAAAATGCCCCAGAAACAATCATGTTTGCCATTTTTACATTCCCCAACTTAAAGTTTCCTTCTTCATCCCTCCCACAGCATGTAACTTTAGACAATTTTTACTCTGGCAAGAAAAGAGGTAAGAATACCCATCCAGATCTTTGGATACCACCAATATTACAACCCCCTGCTTCCAGCCAGATGGTATAGTGCTACTGAGCAATAACTTACTTTATTAACTTGGAAAATCTTCCTGGAGCAAGAAATTCACTCCTAAATGTCTTTGCAAGCATAAAATTGACATGACTTCAGATTCAAAAATAAAAATAACTTTCTTCTTATTGTGAAGTACATGTTAACAACAGTAGTACTAAAGTTTATTAGCTCCACCCACATTCATATTTACTATAACAAGTATTTGGGGAAAATATATACATACATATGCATAAAGTCAATGAGGAAAAGCAAATACTAAACCTTATTTGAAATGTACTTACTATGTGCAGTTCAAGATAGTCACCCAGTCCTGAGGAACTGTCCACTCGCACCAACACTGCTTCCTTCTGAACAGTGCTAAACCCTATGGCCAGCCTGTCTGCTCGTGTACTGGGTCGGTCATTAGGAGGCCACTTATACGTGATCTGTCCACCACCTTTGCTAAAGATATACGTTGTCCCAGCTGTAAAACAAAATACAAATCCCATTAGTACCCATACACCAAGTCTAAGTTTCCCCATGTCCTGTGTTGGTTGATATAGTAATAATATGTTGACTTTATATACAAACTGTGGCAAAGCAAATGATAGATTTCAATGAAACTTGCTCAAGAAAAAGGGAAGAGTTGTTTTAACAGCAACAGAGTAGCTACTCAGTTTTTAATACACCCATTAAATTCACTAGCAGGTGCTCCAGAACAAATGGTAGACTTCAGCTTTCTGCATTGAATTGGACAAGCATGGGTTGTAATGGACTTGCATTTCTTCCTGCCAGTTTTTAAGAAATAGTTTAGTAGGAAACATTGACTGGAGGCTTTAGAAGGCAGCAGAAACATGTATCAACTTGTTTTCAAAACAAGGGCTGTGTGTGGATGTGACAGGGTCATACAGCACAGGAGAGGAGCCTGCCACAAATAGAGTACATCAAACATTCATGGGGAAAGGGTCTCCTCACATGTGACACAAGATAACTTATGAATTAGCAACCGTAAACACCAGAAGTCATGTCAACAAATACACATAACACATCTCACCCAGGGACTTCAGATCTTAACATGTAGCATCTAGGGGCTATGAAATAACACAGCACCTATGAGAGTCCCTCTCCCCCTTCATTCCCTCCAGGTGAATACTCATCCTCCAGCATGGAGAATAATGCTATCCTCTCAGTCATGGGGGTTGAGACTGTACTATAGGATGAAGATGTCAGACAGTATCAAGTTTACATAAGGAGAGTGTTTCAATGCAGGGGAGTCCCATTTCACTGTTTTGCTACCATCTCTCACATTGAATACAAGGAATCCCTTGAGGAAGAAGATTTGGAAGATATTTCAGAAGAAAAATGTGTAAGAGAGAAGAAAGGGGCTGGAGAGATGTCTTAGTGGTTATGAGCACTTGTTGCTCTTGTGGAGGCCTCAGGTTCTAGTCGTAGAAACCACATGATGGCTCATAACCATCTATAACTCCAGCTCCCAGGAACCCAATGCCCTCTTCTGACTTCTGCAAGCACCAGGCATGTATGTGATGTATACAACCACACACCACACACACACACACACACACACACACACACACACACACACACACACACACACACA